CCTAACTCCCATGGGGACCTTCTTTGGTGGCTCCTCAGGAAGTAGGGAGACAGGACTTGTGCTGCAGAGGTCTACGGCAGCTCTGCCTGCTGTGACGGGGGACAATTGTTGTACATTTGTAAGGGCACTGGCTGTGCCTCGGTTTGTTGAGGGGCCCGAGAGAGGTTGCCCATCTTTGCTAAATGTAGAATGACACTGATTTGCCCAGTGATTTCCCTTTTTACATCGGGGGCAGATACTGGAACTTTTTTGCTGCTTACTGGTAGTAACCTTTGCCTGTTGATTTCCTTTTTTACATTCCTTTTTTGTGTGTCCAAATTGCCCACATTTAAAACAAGAGCCTGAGAAACGAGGCATATTTTTTCCGACTTTTAATCCAGCCATAGCCTGAGCTAAAAGAGTAGCCTTATGTAAGTTACCCGCAGTGCCATCACAAGCCTTAATATACTCGGCCAGATGAGCCTTCCCCGTCATAGGTTGAATAGCAGTTTGACATTCTGCATTGGCATTATCGTATGCAAGAAGCTGTATTACAACATCTTGAGGCTGTTTTGTCAGTTATGGCTTTATTCACAGCCTCTTGGAGCTGAGCAATAAAATCAGTATATGGTTCCTTGTCGAACAGAACTGAAAGATTGATATTTTTTCCCTGTAACATTTGTTCTTTCCCATGCCCTTAAGCACACAGAGCGTAACTGAGCCATGGCAACATCCTCCATTAATGCTTGATTGTCTAATCAACCCCAATTAGGGCCGACCCCCATTAACTGTTCAAAGGACACAGGCACAGGCGGCTGTGCCTGTGTGTTTTCTCTTGCCTAAGTTTGAGCTTCATTAGCCCACCAAGTTTTAAATTGCAAGTACTGAGACGGAGTGAGAACAGATTTTGTTGAAGTATCCCAATCATATGGTATTAACCTATTATCAAGAGCCACAATTTTTTAGTAAAGTTTGCACAAAAGGAGAATTTGGCCCATATTGACTAATGACTTGCTTGAATTCCTTTAACAACTTACAAAGAAAAGTGGCCCAATTAGCTATATTCTGTCCTCTTTGTTGGGTTACAGTAACTGGAAACTGCCATGCTTCAAGGTCTCCTTCAGCTCTAGCCTTCTGAATAGAATTTTGTATAGCACCACCAGTTGCGCCAGATTTTAATGTTGTCACTACAGGAGCAGTAAGTTTTACAACTACTTCACTTTCTTGCCCATTGTGGGAGAGGGAGGAGGTGCCCATTTGCTTAATTCAGCAGACGGAGCCAACGGACCAGTAAAATACGTGTTTTTCAGCTTTCCTTTCTTTTCTGTGATTTCCTCTGGCTCCTGTGCCTCGCATATCAGAATCTGATGTTAGTTTCTTACACTCATCCTCCTCTTCTTCATCTGAATCTGCCTCATTATCTGTTTGAAATGACTCAAGAGCTGCCTTTATTAACGGCCACATTGACCAAATAGAAACTGGAATTTTGGCTCCATCTTTATATGCCTTTTTAAAATCTCTGCCAATTCTTTCCCATTCATCCAACTCCCTAGTCCCTTGTTCCAGGAGCCATGGGCAGAACTGCTCTACTGTGCTGAAAAGTGTTAATAGACTTTGAGTACTAACTTTCACTCCCCCTCTCTGTAATAAATGCCTTAAGAAATTTAAATAAGAATTTTGCTTTCATTCTGTCCCATTGTTACCCTGGTTCTTCCGAGCGCCCAGCTTACCCACTGAGCTTCTTTCAGTCATCCTCGGGTGTCCTGTGACAATGTGTCCTCCCCTTCTGCATGCTCTAACATTCCTTCACCGGGGTTTTCGTCGCCCCACATTGGGTGCCAGAAATGTTGGGGTGATCAGACCCAACACCAGGCTGTGGGGGCTACGAAGAAGTCTGGCGGAGTCAAAGGAATGAGACAAGACAAGAGTGCATAAAGTGGGTCCAGGGAGCCAACGCCAATATGGAGGCTGCAAAGGCCCCAAGCTCTGGGAGCACACACTGTTTACTGGTGATCAAACAAAGAAGCAGGTGGTGAGGATGTGGGGATAAAAAGGTGAGGAGGTGAGGACGTGGGGGTAGAAAGGAAGCAGTGCATCAAGCATTTGACCTATAGCTGTGGTGGTTTAGCATTTTCTTTGAAGCATATGGAATATGCTCTGCTACTCGAGATAATGGAGAACGTGTTTTTCTACCTCAAGGTACAATCAATTTATGAGCCTGGGAGAGCAAGAAGCAAGGAGCCAGCAAGCCTGGACACATTCCAGAGGCCACAAGGGTTTTTATTCCCTGAGCCCTGGATTCCATCCAAACCACAGGGGGTTTTATGCCCTGGGCTTAGATTGTGGTGCAGCAGGGCAGCCTTCCACCCTTTGGACAGAGCTTGGTGTTCCAAAGGTCACGAGGGGTTTTAGACCCTGGACCAAGGACACGTTCCAAGACTCTTTTACATTATGTCAAACAAGCAAGTCTTGCCTCAGCTCTTCTAGCAACACATTGCCCCAAGGATAGACCAATGGACAGCAGTCCAGACACCAACCCAGGCATATGCTGAAACTTCATAATCTAACACAGCAGTCAGTACAGATCGGTGGGAAGACAATGAATAATTAAATAACTGATCTGGGCAGTTGGATATCTTTTTAAAAAGATAACTACCTTGCTCCATATATAAAAAAATAAATTCTAGTTGGGTTAAATACTTAAATGTGAAACGGACTTTTGGAAGATCATATAGGTGAAGATCTTTATGCCCTCACATAAGGAAATATTTCTTAAGCTAGACACACGAAGTATAACCAGAAAGGAAAAGATTGATAAATTTGACCTAAAAAAAGGTGAAAAAAGCTTCAAATTGAAGAAAGGATATGTATTTCATATTATCAACAAAGAATTTGTTTTCAAAATATATAGCTTTTGTTTTTTTTTTTTTTTTTGAGACGGAGTTTCACTCTTGTTGCCCAGGCTGGAGTGCAATGGCGCAATCTCTGCTCACCGCAACCTCTGCCTCCCACGTTCAAGTGAGTCTTCTGCCTCAGCCTCCCAAGTAGCTGGGATTATAGGCATGCGGCACCATGCCCAGCTAATTTTGTATTTTTAGTAGAGATGGAGTTTCTCCTTGTTGGTCAGGCTGGTCTTGAACTCCTGACCTCAGGTGATCCACCCACCTCGGCCTCCCCAGGTGCTGGGATTACAGGCGTGAGCCACTGTGCCCGGCCTGTCGGTTTTTGAAAAGGATAGTCAAATAGAAAAAATGGGCAAAAACATAAATAGGTGTTTCATAATGAGGAAAAACAAATAGCCAATAAGTATGAAAAGATACTCAACCAAGAAATGCAAATTAAAATCCACAATGAGATGCCACTTTATGCCCACTATATTGGCAAACGTTTTAAAACGACATCAAGAGTTGGTGAGGGCCAGGAGTGTTGGCTCATGCCCATAATCCCAGCACTTTGGGAAGCTGAGATAGAAGGATCACTTGAGCACACGAGTTCAAGACCCGTTTGCACAACATGGCAAGACCTTGTCTCTACAAAAAATTTAAAAATTAGCCTGATGTGGTGGTGTGTGCCTGTGTTTCCAGCTACTTGGGAGGCTGAGGCAGGAGGATTGCGTAAGCCTAGGAGGTCAAGGCTGCAGGAGGTCAAGCCATGATTGCACCACTGCACTCCAGCCTGGGCAACAGAGGGAGACCCTGTCTTAAAAAAAAAAAAAAAGAGTTGGTGAGGATATGGAGCAAAAGAAACTGATACAATGCTATTGCCAGTGTAAATTAGAATAACCACACCAGAAAACTTTGGCATTGCCTTGCAAAGTGGGCACATATACCCAAATGTTCATCAACAGAGAGTACTGTACAGCCTGTGTGATAAGTCACACACACAAATACCTACCGTTTGTATAAATGATACCATTTATATAAAGTTCAAAAATATGAAAAGGTAAATATGTCGCTATGGATATTTGCAGTGTGGCACTGGAGCTGGCTTGTACTGGCTTGGGAAGAACTGGCAAATGCCACAAACCAGCACACCACTGGGTACAGGCATATGGAGTAACTCTAAAGAAAAGCAAGAGAATTACAAACAGGTAGGGAGGGGCACATTGGAGAAGTATTCCTTCAACAAGGAATGTTCTAATGCTGCTCTTTTTCTTCCTAAGAAGAAAAAACAAATAGAAGTTAGTTAGGTTGATGTGAGAGTCTGTGGTGGGTGGGGTGGGAGGTTCTGAGCAAAGGTAGCAGCAGAGGTGAATGAGGAGAGGGGATGGCTGGTCCAGGCAGTGGCAAGCGCTGCAGTCCATTCTGACGAGCACTGGGCGCGTATAGGGCAGTGGTGAGAGCTCAAGGTGGAAAGGGAGGCACCGGATCACAGAGGGCCTGTGTGCCATGGTAAGCAGTTTGGAGTTCACTACAAGTAATGAGGAGTGTGGGTTTCGCAGAACAGAGACAAGGCAATCTGGCCCACGAGGAAGTTGTTGTGGTCTTGCTGAAAGATGAAACCAGAGCTGGGCCCTGATTATGAGGAGGAAGAGCAGAGGAGCTGGGCTTGAGAGGTTGTCTAGGAAGCAGAATGGACTGAGCTTGGTGACCAATTGGATTTGGGATGTTCATGGAAAACAGGGCTCTGCTGTACTTAGAGAGGTGGAGCATGACTCCCTCACTGTAAGGGTGGACCACACAGTGACTGCCTTCCAAAGAGTGCAGTACAGAAAGGGGGAAAGAAGGGCTGGGTGTGGTGGCTCACGCCTGTAATCCCAGCACTTTGGGAGGCTAAGGTGGATGGATCACTTGAGGTCAGGAGTTCGAGACCAGCCTGGGCAACATGGCAAAACCCCGTCTCTACTAAAAATACAAAAATTAGCTGGGCATGGTGGCACATGCCTGTAATCTCAGCTACTCGGGAGGCTGAGGCAGGAGAATCACTCGAACCCAAGAGGCAGAGGTTGCAGTGAGCTGAAATTGTGCCACTGCACTCCAGCCTGGGCAACAGAGTGAGACTCCATCTCAAAAAACCAACCAAACAAACAAACAAATTCAAATTGTGGGACATTCTACAAAACACCTGACCATTATTAAAGTGTCAAGGTCATTAAAGCCGTGGAAAGTCTGAGAAACTGTCACAGTCAGGAGGCACCGGAGGAGATGTGACAGCTAACTGTAATGTGGCATCCTTGATGGGATCCGGAACAGAAATAAGATATTAGGTTAAAACAACTAGTAAATCTGAATAAAATGTGGATTTTAGTTAACAATAATGTACCAATATTGGTCATTATTTGTGACAAATGTACCATACTAATGTAAGATGTTAATAATAGGGGAATGTGAGTGCAGTGGCTCACACCTGTTATCCCAGCACTTTGGGAGGCCAAGGTGAGCCCAAGAGTTCAAGACCAGCCTGGGTAATATGGTGAAACCCCCTTTCTACAAAACATACAAAAATTAACCAGGCATGGTGGTACACGCCTGTGTCTCAGCTACTTGGAAGGCTGAGGTGGGAGAATCCCTTGAGCCCGGGAGGTCGAGGCTGCAGTGAGGTGTAATCCTGCCACTGCTCTCTAGCCTGGGTGAGAGAGTGAGACCCTGTCTCAAAAACATTAAAATAATAATGAAATAGGGGAATGTGGATGTGAGGTATATGGGAACTCTCTGTACTGTCTTCTCAACTTTTCCAAAACTCTGTTCTAAAATAAATGTGTTTTTAAAAAATTAGCCAAATGCATTTCTTCTAAAACCTTTTTATTAAAACTAATTGCTGCTCTCTTTAAAAACAAAAACAGAGCCCTGTAAGTCTCCAATTTCTGAGTTGAGTGACCTTTCACAGGGTCACAGAATCAGCCCCAGCTCTCCTAGTCCTTTCACTGACTCCTCTCTGTTGCAGAGGTGAGATTTGTTTAGGGAAGTGGGACTACAACTCCCAGAGTGCACCTGTGCGGTTGTCAGGAGCAACCAAGGAAGCAAACTAACAGCCTTGCTAGAGTCTGAGGACTATCCAGGGCCTCACTGCCAGCCAGCCGGCCATGGGCCAGGATTATTACTCTGTGCTCCAGATCACTCGCAATTCAGAAGATGCCCAGATCAAGCAGGCGTAAGTTGGGGTGGGAGCCAGTCCTTAGGGGTGTGCTGGGGCAGGCCCTGCCCTCTTCTCTTCCAAAACAAGCTTTCCTGCACAGCTTAGAGCAGACAAGGTAAACCTTGTTCCTTCTTTCACTTCTTGCATACCTGTATCCTGGCTTTGGTCTGGGTCAGGGCCCAGGTTGGAAATTTGAACTCTTTAGTTCCTCAATCTGCTCCCAACCCATCTCCCTTTATGCTCCATGCCCTGTCTCCTCTCCTGGGTGCCTTGCCTTTCCCAGCAATGAAATGGAGACAAAGGAGCCATTTGAACTTTATCTTGAATATTATGGAGAACCAGAGGCTTATGAACAAGGGAGTGGCCGGGCCAGATAGATGTTATAAATTCGATTCTGGCCATGATGGAGGTTTTCAACATTGACTAAACTGCATTCCTGAATACTTCCATCAGGTCTTAAGGATGCTCTGGTTCATTCCTAAGAAAGCCTACGACAGGAGTCAGTACATTTTTCTGAAAACATGTTTTTGTTTTTGTTTTTGTTTTTTTTGAGACGGAATTTTGGTCTTGTTGCCCAGGCTGGAATGCAGTGGTGTGATCTCAGCTCACCACAACCTCTGCCTCCTGGGTTCAAGCGATTCTTCTGCCTCAGCCTCCCAAATAGCTGGGATTACAGGCACGCACCACTACGCCCAGCTGATTTTGTATTTTTAGTAGAGACGGGATTTCTCCTTTTTGGTCAGGCTGGTCTCAAACTCCTGACCTCTGGTGATCCTCCCGCCTTGGCCTCCCCAAGTGCTGGGATTATAGGTGTGAGTCACCGCACCCGGCCAAAAACATGTTTTTTTTTTTTTTTTTTGAGACAGAGTCTTGCTCTGTCACCCAGGCTGGAGTGCAGTGGCCTGATCTCCGCTCACTGCAAGCTCCGCCTCCCAGGTTCACGCCATTCTCCTGTCTCAGCCTCCCGAGTAGCTGGGACTACAGGCGCCCGCCACCTCGCCCAGCTAGTTTTTTGTGTTTTTTAGTAGAGACGGGGTTTCACTGTGTTAGCCAGGATGGTTTCGATCTCCTGACCTCGTGATCCGCCCGTCTCGGCCTCCCAAAGTGCTGGGATTAGAGGCGTGAGCCACCGTGCCCGGCCAAAACATGTTTTTTTTAAACAAATATTTATTAAGCGTCTACCACAGGGTCGAGAGGGTACTTCACCTCCTGCTGCAGTGGTGGCAGCTGGAAATAAATGTCTGAATCTGACAGTGACACTTCCTTTCCTCATGCAGCTAGATTTTGTTGCTGAATAGATGTTGAATAAGTCACCACAACTGTGATGAGTGTTACAAAAGAGGAAGTACGGGGGGCTATGGAAGTTATCTTGGAAGGAGAGAGACCCCTTAGAAGGCTGTTCGGGGTAATCAAGGCAAAAGATGAGGCCAGAGAAAGGGGAGGGAATGGACTTGGCAATTAAGTGGATCACTGGAGGGTAAAGAAAAGAGGAGTCCAGGATAACTCAGTTAAGTTGGGCAGTGACAATAGGTGCATGTTTTGAGTGTGTAGGTGCAGTTCTGAGAACTTTCCCTCACTCTTTAATCCTCACAACAGTCCTGAGAATTAAGTACCATTATTATCCCACGGCCATGCACTAGTAAATGGTGGAGCCAGTGTTCAGACATCAGGCCTCCCAGAGTTGCCAGTCATGGGCCTACTCCTGGGCCAGGTCCTTTTGGGGATTAGTGGCGTAAGTGGAGAGTCTGCAGTGTTGTTGGAGAAAAAAGACACAAACTCATGAAAAGATTTGAGAACAACTCAGGACAGTGTATGATGTCACCCACTCCTTGGAGCATCTCATTGACCAGAAGGACCCATCCAGGGAAAGGTAATCAGGAGGAAGGGCAGTGGGAGTGCAGAAAGAGAAGCACAACTTAAGCACTGGAAAGGGCTGGATCAGAATCCAGATTCACTTACCTGCTAGCTGTGTGACCTGGGCAAATTACTTAACCTCTCTGAGCTGAAGTTTTCCCATGTCTAAAAATCATCCTCATAATAAAGGTTGCTGTGAGACTGAAATAGGATTAGATAAGATAATGCATGTGTCCAGCAATCATTTGCATGTGAAACCATGTCATATAAAGAGTGATTAAGGCCTGGCGTGGTGGCTCATGCCTATAATCTGAGCACTTTAGGAGGCCAAAGCAGGAGGATCCCTTGAGCCCAGGAGTTTGAGAGGGCAGCCTGGGCATCATCGGGAGACCCTGTCTTTACAGAACATTTAAAAATTAGCTGGGCATGGTGGCACACACCTGTGTCCCAGCTACTCGGGAGGCTCAGGTGGGAGGATCGCTTGAGCCCAGAAAGTAGAGGCTGCATTGAGCTATGATTGCACCACTGCACTCCAGTCCGGGCAACAGAGCAAGACCTGTCTCAAAAATATAAAAATGGCTGGATGCAGTGGCTCACACCTGTAATCCTAGCGCTTTGGGAGGCTGAGGCAGGTGGATCACTTGAGGTCAGGAGTTTGCCAGCCTGGCCAACGTGGTGAAACCGCTTCTCTACTAAAACTACAAGAAATTAGCCAGGTATGGTGGCGCACACCTGTAATCCCAGCTACTCGGGAGGCTGAGATAGGACAATTACTTGAACCCAGGAGGCAGAGGTTGCAGTGAGCCGAGATCATGCCATTGCACTCCAGCCTGGGTGACAGAGCGAGACTTCGTCTCAGAATAAATAAATAAATAAAAATAAGGCCGAGCGTAGTGGCTCATGCCTGTAATCCAAGCACTTTGGGAGGACGAGGCAGGAGGATCTCCTGAGATCAGAAGTTCGAGACCAGCCTGGCCAACAAGGTAAAACCCCATCTGTACTAAAAAAAAATTAGCCGGGTGTGGTGGCAGGTGCCTGTAATCCCAGCTACTCAGGAGACTGAGGCAGGAGAATTGCTTGAACCTGGAAGGTGGAGGTTGCAGTGAGCCGAGATTGAGCCATTACACTCCAGCCTGGGCAACAAGAGCAAAACTCTGTTTCAAAAATGACTAACTAAATAAATAAAAATAAATAGAGTGATTAAAAGAACTGTGCATGTTTCAAAAAGCAGTCCTTAACCCTTCTCTCCTGCAATAACTCTAAGTCACATGTATGACATGCTTGCTCATGGGACAACCTAGATATTGATTAAAAAAAAAGAAGAGCTAAACTTATATAAGGAAGAAAAGCACCATGATGGTTTATAATTGTCCAGGATTCATAACTGCAGCGTTCAAGTTGTGATTTCACCCCTTTCTCTGCCACTCAGGAAAGCAGGTGAATGAGAGTGATGTTACTGCAGGGATAATTTTGAAACCACTCAAATTTATATGAAAAACTAAACCTTTCTCAAACCTTGTTACCTTTTTTTTTTTTTTTTGAAATGGAGTCTCTCCGTCACCCAGGCTGGAGTGCAGTGGCACAATCTGGACTCACTGCAATCACAGCCTTCTAGGTTCAAGTGATTCTTCTGTCTCAGCCTCCTGAGTAGCTGGGACTATAGGTGTGCGCCACCATACCCGGCTAATTTTTGTATTTTTAGTAGAGACGGGATTTCACCATGTTGGCCAGCCTGTTTTCAAACTCCTGATTTCAAGTGATCTGCCTGCCTCGGCCTCCCAAAGTGCTGGGACTACAGGAGGCTGAGATGGATGGATCACTTGAAGCCAGGAATTTGAGACCAGCCTGGCCAACACGGCAAAAACCGGTCTTTACTAAAAATACAAAAATGAGCCAGGTGTGGTGGTGGGCACCTGTAGTTTCAGCTACTTGAACTTGGGAGGCGGACATTGCAGTGAGCCCAGATTGCGCCACTGAACTCCAGCCTAGGTGACAGAGTAAGACTGTATCTCTAAATAAATAAATAAATAAATAAATAAATAAATAAATAATAACCAACTGTGACCTTTATAATTGAGAAAGGCTGGTTTGGAAGGCTGTGACAATGTCTTCAAGTCTCTGAAAGTAGATATTCTCTCTGTAAGGTCCCAGGGCACAGCTACATCCCTTATGGATGGAGGGACAGTTGCAGGACAGCAGATCCAGCTTCCTATTGCAGTAAGAGGAGGCATTGCCTAAAAGTCAGAGCCATTCCACAGTGAGATGGGCTGCCCTGTAGGATGCTGAGCGTATATCATTTATTTACTCACTCCTGCTCAGTGCCCAGCACTGGGGCTAGAACTGGATGCAGCAACTCCAGAACCTATTAGATGAGTCGACGACACCTGGAACACAGCGCTGCTAAGGACGAGGATCAAAGGTGCTGGGGACTTGGGAAGGGGAGTCTAACCTAGAAAGGAGGCTAGCTGTCAGGGAAGGCGCCCTGGAGGATTTGGTAACCTGAGCCGAAAGTTGAAGGATGAATTAAAAATTGCCCAGAGAAGCTGGGAGGGGCTGTAGAGGGGTGAGTCATGCAGGAGAGGTCAAGGGAGCAGCAAAGGAGAACAGTGAGTGAGGCCAGAGGAAGAGGCAGGGGCTTGGATCTTAGAGTGAGATATCTGAGTTTTATGCTGGAGACAATGAGGAAACCAGTGAAGGGTTATGCCAGGAGAGGGACCTGGTCAGAAAATGTTTCAGAAGGCCGGCATGGTGGGTCATGCCTGTAATCTTAGCACTTTGGGAGGCTGAGGTGGGCGAATCACCTGAGGTCAGGATTCAAGACCAGCCTAGCCAACAGGGCGAAATCTTGCCTCTACTAAAACTACAAAAATTAGCCAGACGTGGTGGCTCATGCTGGTAGTCCCAGCTAATCGGGAGGCTGAGGCAGGAGAATGACGTGAACCCAGGAGGAGCTTGCAGTGAGCCGAGATCACGCCACTGCACTCCAGCCTGGGCGACAGAGCGAGACTCCATCTCAAAAAAGAAAAAAAAAAAAAGAAAGTATTTTAGAAGCATCAGTATTAACGAGCAGAGAGAGTGAGAGCAAGAGTAAGAGATACTGCAATTGGCAGCACACAATGCAGTGGAGGAGGGGCCGCTGGGTGCAGGAAGACATGGTTCTGCAATACTTGTCGGGATAAAGAGACAGGAACAGAACATTTTTATTTATTTTGAGACAGAGTCTTGCTCTGTCACAGGCTGAAGTGCGGTGGTGTAATCTTGGCTCACGGCAGCCTTGACTTCCTGGGTTCAAGCAATTCTCCCACATCAGCCTCCCAAGTAGCTGGGACTACAGGTGAATGCCACCATGCCCGGCTAGTTTTTGCATTTTTTTTTTTTTTTTGTAGAGTCAGAGTTTTGCCATGTTGCCCAGGCTGGTGTTGAACTCCTGAGCTCGAGTCATCCTCCCACCTCGGCCTCCCAAAGTGTTGGGATTACAGGCATGAGCCACTGTACCCAGCCCAGAACATTAGTTAGAAGGAAAACCCCATGTGACTTGGTGACTGATGGGATAAGGAGAGGAGATGAAGGAGAGCTTGGAGTCAAAGTGCTCACATTTCTGGCTGCAGTGCCTGGGGAAAAATTATGCAGTGAAAATGTATGTGTTGGCAGGGTCAGGTGGCTCACGCCTATAATCCCAGCACTTTGGGAGGCCGTGGTGGGAGGATCACCTGAGGTCAGGAGTTCGAGACCAGCCTGGCCAACATGGTGAAACCCTGTTTCTAATAAAAATACAAAAAATTGGCCGGGCGCGGTGGCTCAAGCCTGTAATCCCAGCACTTTGGGAGGCCGAGACGGGCGGATCACGAGGTCAGGAGATCGAGACCATCCTGGTTAACATGGTGAAACCCCGTCTCTACTAAAAAAAAAAATACAAAAAACTAGCCAGGCGAGGTGGCGGACGCCTGTAGTCCCAGCTACTCGGGAGGCTGAGGCAGGAGAATGGCGTGAACCCGGGAGGCGGAGCTTGCAGTGAGCTGAGATCCGGCCACTGCACTCCAGCCTGGGTGACAGCGCGAGACTCCGTCTCAAAAAAAAAAAAAAAAAAAAAAAAAAAAACCCAAAAAATTAGCCGGGTGTGGTGGCGGGTGCTTGTAATCTCAGCTGCTTGGGAGGTTGAGGCAGGAGAATAGCTTGAACCCGGGAGGCGGAGGTTGCAGTGAGCAGGGATTGTGCCACTGCACTCCAGCTTGGGCAACAAGAGAGAAACTCCGTCTCAAAAAAAAAAAAAAAAAGTGTATGTCTGGACTCGGTGAATTTATGATACCTTGGAGAGGAGATGGCAAGTAGAAAGTTGGAGGTAGTCTTTGGCTCAGGGAAGTGGTCTGGTTCAGGATGGAGATTTAGCTGTGAGAGACCGAAGCCTGCCCCTGGGATGAGAAGAGAAACCACGGAACTCTGGGGATGGCGGCGAAGCGAGTGTGGGCACTGGAAAAGCAGGCGGAGGTAAGGTTGGGGATCATGCCTGGGCTGAGTGACAGGCGTCTGTGCTGGACGCCTCCCGTGCAACCCTCCAGACCCACTCCCCACCGTTCCTGCCCTGCTCGGCTCCGGCTCCGGGAGGCTTCCTTGCCCTCAGCCTTCCAGATGGAGCCGGCCCAGGGGAGCACTAGGCGGGAGATGGGGAGGGAGAAGGGCGGGGCTGCGGCTTTATTCCCCAGTTCTCCTCCTATGGGGTCTCTTCAGTCAGCTGTGTCGCTTGACAGAAAGTCACAGCTCCGCTGAGGGCCCTGTCCACACACTCCGACAGACCCCTCAGCGTTCCTGGCCTGGGAAAACTGCACTCTGCTGTCCCTGGCAAGTCTCCCTCCGCTCCTCCTGCACCTGGGCGAATGGTCCCTTTATTAAACCCTCCACAAACCACCCAATCCGCGCCATCTTTCCCCCACCCCGGGTCACTTCTGATACATATTCTCAGACGCTACGATGTCTGCCCCTCAGAAACAGGCCAGCTGGTAGGACTTGTATTAACCCTCCCTCCTCCAGGTACCGCAGACTCGCCCCTTAACCACCCGTTGAAGTCAAATGAGCCGTCTTCAGCAGAGATTTTCAGGCAAATAGCAGAGGACTGGGCAGAAAAGAAGTGGGAAAAAAAATAAGCACAGAGTGGGTGTGGGCGGCACAGGAACCAGACGCGCGTTGAGCGCCTCATCCATGTCCGCTGCACACTCGATTGTAGCTCATCCTCCCAAGACGCCTGTGTGTCTGCTCCTGTCCTCTAAGAAGCAAACAGGATTATGTGCAGGAAATGTACCTGGAGAGACTGTGAAGGATGAAGGGAAGGGAGCAGGAGCGCGCAGGGAGAGTCCCCAGAACACAGTGCAGCCTGACGCTTGCGAGTGGAGATAGGGAGGGGAGGAGTGGGGAGGGAGAGCTCAGCCAGCCTCTGGGGAGCCCTCACGCAAACCGTGCCCGTTGGAGGAGTCCTGTGTCTTGCAGGAATGGGCCAGCCTTGGTATCTCCACCACACGTTAGCACTGGGGGCAGCTCAGGGGCAGTAGCTTCGGCTCAGATGCCCTGGGGGGCAGCTGCTGGAACTGTCAGTCAGCTGTGCTCCCCGCACCAGCTACTCTTCAAGAGCTGAGCAGTGCACCTCCGCAGCCACCACAGCCCGTGAAACTACCCCGGATTTATAGCCAGCCAGGAGTGGACAGAGTGCCAGCTCTGAACTCTGGTCTGCCCTCAGAAACAGGCCAGCTGATACGGCTTGTATTAACTCTCCCTCCTCCAGGTACCGCAGACTCGCCCTTAAGCACCACCCGTTGAAGTCAAATGAGCCGTCTTCAGCAGAGATTTTCAGGCAAATAGCAGAGGCCTTCGACGTGCTGAGTGACCGTGAGTAGCTGTGGGGCTGAGCAGCCCCCTCGATTAGGATCATTCCTTAAGTCTCCAGACTGTTGGGTTTTCTGAGGGGGCCCAATAGCGAGGAAGCATCCCTCTTCCCTGCCTAGAATCTAGACACACAGAGAAGACAGAATACCGACCTGCCTTTCTCAGTAGAAGCAAGCTGAGGGGGAGGACATAGGGTGTGGAGCCCAGGATTACATTGACTCGCTCACCCTGGCAGGCAGTGTGGGAGCAGGGGCACATTCCCCACGCATCCCTATCCCCTGCGAGGACGGGACCTTCCCCGGGAGGAACAGACTGAGGGGCTTGCAGCTACCGGGGAAGAAGGCTGAAGCTGGGCGGGCGCACCCACCTGTCCCTCCCAGAGGTCCTTCCCAGTGGCTGAGTGTCCATTTCCCCAGGGCCAGCAAGAGTAGGAACAGGCACAGAAAGGCCAGGAGTAATTAGGAAATCTCTCTCCGATGGAAATCAGCAGAGTGAAGAAAGTGTGATCCCTGCCCCCACACCCAGGGCCATCCTTGCGGGCTTTCCCTGGGACTTGTCCTGGAGACTAATCCTGGTTCCTGCAGAAGTACAGCTAGAAGATCACTAAGGTTTCTACAGCCCTGAGTTTTCAGGACTTCAGGGTCCTTAGACTCTAGGATTTCAAAGTTTTAAAATTTGGAGGCTGTAGAATTCTTAGCTTCTAAAATGTCAAGGTTCTATAATTCTGTTTACCCCAGATAAGACAGTGGCCATGATGACTGAGTTAGGCCAAATCCCAGGGCCATGGCCTGAGCCTTAGTCTCTCAGTTATTCCCCCAATCTCTCACCCCGCCCCCAGCAAACCCAAGGCTTTCCCGTCTCTCTTCTGGGCTACAGAAGCCATACCTAGGTCCTCCCAGAATGAAATGGAACCCCTGACTCCTAGGGTCTCATTCCAAAGACTGCCAGACAGCAGGCACTTTGGGATCAAGCTGCTTCTGCCCCTTCCCTTTCTCCATATCCGCCTGCTTCCCAGCCCCTCCACCTATCTCAGCCCCCAAAGTTGGACGCCTCCTCAAGGTGATGCCCATCCACAGCCGTGAAGAGAGGCATCTACGACAAGTTTGGAGAGGAGGGCCTGAAGGGTGGGATTCCTTTGGAGTTTGGATCTCAGACCCCATGGACAACTGGTTACGTCTTCCACGGCAAACCCGAAAAGGTGTTCCACGAGTTCTTCGGTGGAAACAACCCCTTCAGTGGTAAGAGGTCTTCAGAGGTCTTCCTCCCCACCTTGCCTTACAGGGAAACGACACAGCTATAAATGATGCTTTTCGTTAAGTAGTTTTGTTTTTATTTTTACTTTATTATTTTATTTTATTTATTTATTTATTTATTTGGAGATGGAGACTCGCTGTGTCGCCCAGGCTGGAGTGCAGTGGTGCGATCTTGGCTCGCTGCAACCTCTGCCTCCTGAGTTCAAATAATTCTCCTGCCTCAGCTTCCCGAGTAGCTGGGACTACAGGCGCACGCTGCCATGCCCGGTTAATTTTTTTAAATTTTTAGTAGAGATGGGGTTTCACCATGTTGCCCAGGCTGCTTTCGAACTCCTGAGCTCAGGCAATCTGCCCACCTTGGCGTCCCAAAGTGCTAGGATTACAAGCGTGAGCTACCGCGGCCGGCCTATTTTTACTTTAATAAATATATATAACACATTGCAAAAGAAAAAGTAAAACAGAATTCATTGAAAAAGAAATACATTCCAGCCCTCCATTTTCTTTCTTTCTTTCTTTTTTTTTTTGAGATGGAGTCCTGTTCTGTCACCCAGGCTGGAGTGCAGTGGCATGACTTCAGCTCACTGCAACCTCTGCCTCCCGGGTTCAAGCAGTTCTCCTTGCCTCAGCCTCCTGAGTAGCTGGGATTACAGGCACTCACCACCACACTCAGCTAGTAATTTTGTATTTTTTAGTAGATGAAGGGGTGGCCCACCCCTCCACACCTGTGGGCATTTCTCGTTAGGTGGAACGAGAGACTTGAGAAAAGAAATGAGACACAGGGACAAAGTATAGAGAAAGAAAAAGTGGGCCCAGGGGACCGGTGCTCAGCATACAGAGGACCCACGCCGGCACTGGTCTCTGAGTTCCCTTAGTATTTATTGATAATTATCTTTACCATCTTAAAGATAAGGGAGTGGCAGGACAATAGGATCATTGTAGGGAGAAAATTAGCAGTAAGACATATGGATAAAGATCTCTGTGACATGAATAAGTTCAAAGGAAAATGCTGTGCCTTGATATGCATATGCAAACATCTTCCATAAGCCTTTTAGCAGCATTGTTTCAGCAAGTCCCACCTTTTGCCCTAAAGTGATTTTCTCCTTTCTCAGTAAACAAAGCATACAATCGGGTCTCACACCGAGATGTTCCATTGCCCAGGGACGGGCAGGAGACAGATGCTTTTCTCTATCTTAACTGCCAACATCCGCCAAAAGGCCTTCTTTCCTCTTGTACTAGTCCTCCTCAGCACAGACCCTTCACGGGTGTCGGGCTGGGGGACAATCAGGTCCTTCTCTTCCCACGAGGCCCTATTTCAGACTATCACATGGGAAGAAACCTTTGACAATACCTAGCTTTCCTAGGCAAAGGTCACTGCGACCTTTGGCCATGTATGTGTCCCTGGGTACTTGAGATTAAGAGAATGGTGATGACCTTTAACCAGCAAGCTGCCTTCAGGCACTTGTTTAACAAAGACACATCCTGCACAGCCCAAAATCCATTAAACCTTGAGTCACCACAGCACATGTCTCTTGCAAGGACAAGGTTGGGGGTAGGGTCACAGATTAACAGCATCTCAAATACAGAACAAAAGTCTACTTCTTTCTATATAGACACAGTAACGGGCTGATCTCTCTTTCTTTTCCCCACAAGTAGACATGTGGTTTCACCATATCTGCCAGGCTGGTCTCAAACTCCTGACCTCAGCTGATCCGCCCACCTCCATACATACATACACAATCATTGAAAGGCCTGGGTGAGAAGGCTCTAAGCTGGCCCTGTAGGAAATCTTCCAAGAACACCACCTCTAAACTGGTCCACAAGGAAAGCTGCTGTCTCTGCCACAGTCACGAAGAAGGAATCAGGAAATGTCACCGTTGCATTCCAGAACACACCATAAATGTAGCTGCAACTGCTACCTCACTTGCTTCTGACAGGCATGAAACTCGTAGGTGGACACACAAAGGCTGCTGCAGAAAAACCCAGTATTTCCACGACAGTGCTCACCAGCTCCAGACAGAGCCATGGAGAGATGCCTGCCGCCTTCTTCCTGCCTCCCAAGTAGCTCAGGGTTTACCTGATGAACAGAATTAAAAGCCAGAACATTAGCTGCTAGAGAGTCTGGGGGTTGTTCCTTTTGGCTCTACAGATTCTCTAGGAGGGAAGGTATGCAAGAAGGAGGTCAGAGCAGATGCCAAGTGCCAGCATGGCTACCATGGGTGTTTTATAATTTATTATTATTAGAGTCTTACTCTGTTGCCCAGGAGTGCAGTGGCACAATCTTGGCTCACTGCAACCTCTGCCTCCTGGGTTCAAGCGATTCTCCTGCCTCAGCCACCCGAGTAGCTGGGATTACATGCGGGCACCAGAATGCCTGGCTAATTTTTATATTTTTAGTAGAGATGGGGTTTCCACTCAAGACTGGCCAGGCTGGTTTTGAACTCCTGACCTCAGGTGATCTGCCTGCCTTATCCTCCCAAAGTGCTGGGATTACAGGCATGAGCCACTGTGCCAGGTATAATTTATTATTTTTAATTACTGTCTTATTGATGGGTATTTAGTTTCTTTCTGGTCTTTTGCTAATATTGTATTTGTGGGAAGATACCTCTTGTCTCTTTTGCAGTTGAAACAGTTCTTGTGCTATTTATAGTTTCCCTAACATGCTTGTCTCCCTACCAGACTGGGAGCTGCTCCAGGTCTGATTGATCTCAGAGTAGCCAAACCCCAGCCTAGCATCTGACAAGAGTGAGTGGATGGGTGGATGCATGAAATGAAGGAAGGAAGGACAGATGGATGAATGGATGAGTGGGTGTATGAATGAATAGATGGGCGCGTGGTGGGTGGGTGGGTAGGCAGATGGATGGCTGGGTAGGCGGATGGATGGCTGGGTAGGTGGATGGGTGCATGATCCCAAGTCTCAGACGAACTGACCAAGAGTTGATTTCTGAGGCTCAGAATCATCTTGCAAAGGCAGTGAAAAGACCTTCACACCTGACTTCCTGGCTCCAGTTATGCCCACATAGGCCTAGATTTTCACTGCCTGTTTTCTCCTACACCCCTTCCCCTTCTCCCTGACTATACTTCAGCCTTTCTGAACTTCAAAAGTTCTCTCCTTCTCTTCTCTGTGCCAATACGTGGGTTATAGCCCCTCTGCCTCAGAGACTGCTCCCATTGTGTGCCATCCTCATGTGTCTGCCAGAGGAAGCTTAGTTTATAAGCTCCACGTGAGACTGAAAATAGCAAGGGGCTTTGAGTAGCAGGCCTGTTTCTAATCCATGTGCTGCTATTTGTGAACTGTGTGGTCCTGGGAAATTTTCCTTACCCCTCTGAAACCCCAGCTTCCTAACCATTACATAGACAAAATAATCATTAAGGCTCAAGGGCTATTATCAGATAAGATAATGTTTATGAAAAGGGGCTTTGCAATTGGCCAGGCACGGTGGCTCACGCCTGTAATCCCAGCACTTCGGTAGGCCAAGGCCAGCAGATCACCTGAGGTCGGGAGTTCGAGACCAGCCTGACCACCATGGAGAAAATCCATCTCTACTAAAACAACAACAACAACAACAACAACAAAAACCCAAAAAAAACAGTTGGGCACGGTGGCGCATTCCTGTAATTCCAGCTACTCAGGAGGCTGAGGTAGGAGAATCACTTGCACCAAGGAGGTGGAGGTTGCGGTGAGCCAAGATTGTGCCATTGCACTCCAGCCTGGGCAACCAGAGTGAGACTCCGTCTCAAAAAAAAGAAAAAAAGGAAAAGAAAAGGAAAGGGGCTTTGCAGCCCAAAAATGCCATACGGTGGACCTTGTCTCCCTACCTGTCTCAGTTCAAAGGAGCCAAGGGAGTCTACAGGGCATCGCTCATTGGGAAAGGTCAGGCTCAGGGTCTGGGCCTCCTTAGGCAGCACCCAGAAGCTATACTGCCACAGTGCTCCACCCCAAGGGTTCCTGAGTCCCATCTCCCTGCAGGGTTGAGGGGCTGGGCTTCCTGTGGCCTGGCTATTGGGGTGTTTACTGCCTGGTACACTGTAGGTCTGGGTGAACAAGTGAATTCAGCAGTGCAACAGGAGGCCAGATGATTTGCAGGCCCCTTGATTGCCCATCACATCTTACAGGGACACAGTGTAGTCACCTCATCCCTGCCTAAGGTCATTTCACCATTCTAGCCTGTGAAGTTCATTCCATGGCATCAACCATGAGAAGCAGAATATGGGAACTCTGAACCATAGTGCCCCTCAAGTTTACAGCTTATGAAGGGCTTTCACATCTAGCAATGCAGTGTGGCACAGTGGTTAAGGACACAATTTCCGTCTTCATATTGTCCTGTGGTTCAGATCCCAACTCTACTGCTTACTAGCTATGGGACCTTAAGCATTTTGTTTGGCCTCTCTGGACCAATGAAATAATAATGTAAGGTGCAAAAATAGCACCTGATGCATAGTAAGCTCTCAGCAAGTTTTAGCTCTTTATCTTAATGGTGGAAGGCAAGTCAGGCATTATTACCCCATCCCACAGACCAAGACACTGAAGCCCACGGATCACACAGCACATCAGGGGCAGAGCCGGGATGGGGCTGTCTTTGCACTGGGAGGAAGGATGTGGGCAGCAAGAGGGGTTATGGGTGTAGAGCTGGGCAGGGGCAAAAGAAAGTGAGGAAAGAGGAATTTGGGGGATGCTAGTGGCCTCTCAAATTGTTAGGGACCAAACTTTTCCCTCTCCCATCTCAGTCGACAGCTTTATAGCAACTTGAGTCTGGGGTCTTTAGTAGTCTTGGGCTGGGCTGGACAGCGAAGGGGAGTGGCGTCTGTGGAAGAGTAGGGAGGACTGGACAGCTCTGACCTTCCTGCCGAAGACTACCAGCAGTCTCTTCTGGCACTCCCGAGCGCGGCCACCAGAGGGAGCGCCTCCCTTTCCTGAGACAGCCAGAGTTACGGTATCCAAGTTGTGGTTAAGAGAGACTGGGAAGCAGCGGGGGCGGCGGCGGGGTGATACCCCAAGCAGGGGTGAAGCAGTGGGAAGTGGCAAGGGATGATACTCACTGCATCAGCGGTTGAAGCAGCTCCTTGGCTTGGCCAGTCCGAGAGGTGGTTATAGGATGCTGGGTATTACACAGGGCACTGAAGAGGTTGGGGAGCGTATCTGGATGGGGAGGTGGAGTGTGTGTGTGTGTGTGTGTGTGTGTGTACACGCGTGTCTGGGTCTCTGGATACAATTTCTCTTACTCCTCTCCCTAACCCCCGCAGAGTTTTTTGATGCAGAAGGAAGTGAGGTGGATTTGAACTTTGGGGGGCTCCAGGGCCGAGGGGTCAAGAAGCAGGACCCCCCAATCGAACGGGATCTCTACCTGTCCCTGGAGGACTTATTCTTTGGCTGCACCAAAAAAATTAAGATCTCCAGAAGGGTGAGTACTCAGCTTGCTCCTCCCGGGAGCCACCACCTATCTCCTGCAGCCTAGCAGCCACCTCCTCCCTTACCCGGGTGGGAGGACTCAGGGATAGTCTCTGATGGAATTACAGAACCTTAGAGGCCGGGCGCGGTGGCTCAAGCCTGTAATCCCAGCACTTTGGGAGGCCGAGATGGGCGGATCACGAGGTCAGGATATCGAGACCATCCTGGCGAACACGGTGAAACCCCGTCTCTACTAAAAAATACAAAAAATTAGCCGGGCGAGGTGGCGGGCGCCTGTAGTCCCAGCTACACGGGAGGCTGAGGCAGGAGAATGGCGTGAACCCGGGAGGCGGAGCTTGCAGTGAGCTGAGATCCGGCCACTGTACTCCAGCCTGGGCGACAGAGCCAGACTCCGTCTCAAAAAAAATAAATAAATAAAAAATAAAAATAAAAAAAGAACCTTAGATTCAGAGACCTAGGATGTTAGAATTCTAGAATCTGAAATTCGGAAGGGACAATTGAGGATATTAGCCCGGTTCTTTCCTAGTGCAGGAGTGTCCTCTGCAGCCTTCCCAACTGCAGTCTTCCTCTCTTTCAATTCAGCCCCATCCCCGTGGGAACTGGAAAGGCTCTGAATCCTCTGAATTCTTTCCTCTGGGCTTTACCAGACCATATTCCCAGGATTTTACCAGGGTGCATGCCTCATGCATAAGAAAGAACAGTGGGCATGGAGGGTGGGCTGGGAGACAGTCACCAAGGTGACGGGTTGAGGAAGACCCTCAGTGCCTCCTGTCTAGTCCTTGGCTTGGCCCTGTGCCATGTCCCAGCCCTGTGCCAAGCATAAGAGCAAGCCTCCTCTACCTTTGCCCAGCAGAGGAGATGCTGATGCGGCCATGCTTTCCACAGATGGCACCCATCTGGACATGCGATTGGGGAGTGGAAGGATGACACAGTGGTGAATGCACTGGGGGAGGCTTAGATATGTTGACTTTCATTTCTCTCTTTGGGATTAAGAGACTTGCTGGAGGCTCAAGCCCAGGCCTCTGGGATTTGGAGAGAGGAAGGAAGTACATTTTCACCATGTATCTGTTAGTGGCCAGGCCTGGAGCTGTGTGTTTGATCAACTAATGGTGACTGCTTGGCATCTCAGCCCCTAGCCCCAGTCTCATGGCATCCCCTGCCATCCTGGAATCATAGGTTCTTGGTTGTCATGGCAACAGGATGGGCAGGCTCTCCCCATTGCTGGAGGCTCTTCCCATTGCTAGAGGATTGAGCCCAAGTACAAATCCCATAGAGCATCTTTCATGTGTGCAAAGGTCACCTGAGTGTTCATGAAAATCTGAGCAATTGACTGTGCTCATGGAAGTCCTAAGCAGACCTCCCCACACCTGATATGTTGCTGCAGGTGCTGAATGAGGATGGGTACTCCTCCACCATCAAGGACAAGATCCTGACCATTGATGTGAAGCCTGGTTGGAGGCAGGGCACACGCATCACCTTTGAGAAGGAAGGGGACCAGGTAAGAGTGGAAGAAGCTGACTCAGGTCAGTCACTGGACTCAGGCGGTGGGAAGACTGAGGAGGAAGGGAAGGGAAAAGAGGCAATACTTTTTCCTGACCCTGTGAGCCTTGGTCTGTAGACAGCCCAGTCTGCAGAGTGGGTGAGACAGGATCCCTAATGTTCCTTCCAAGGAACAGAGCCTTATAATGCTTCTGTGAATGGGCAGCCCAGGGACTGTCCCCATTTTACAGAGTGGGAAACGGGGACCCAGAGAAGAATGGGACTTGCCTAGGGCAAGAACATGAGAGCTGAAAGGAGATCCCAGTCTGAACTCCAGTGTTTTCCTGATTTTCTTCAGTGCTTCTCGGAATAAAGCCCAACTACAGGAGCTACTCAGAAATCATTTAATCATAATAATTTTATTTATTTTATTTTATTTTATTTTATTTTATTTTGAGACGAGAGTCTCACTTTGTTGCCCAGGCTGGAGGGAGGTGGCACAATTTCAGCTCATTGCAACCCCCACCTCCTGGATTCAAGCGATTCTCCTGCCCCAGCCTCTTGAGTAGCTGTGACTACAGGCACGTGCCACCACGCACAGCTAATTTTTTTTTTTTTAATTGAGACAGAGTCTCACTCTGTTACCCAGGCTGGAAGGCAGTGGCGCAGTCTTGGCTCACTGCAAACTCCGCCTCCTGGGTTCAAGTTATTCTGCTGCCTCAGCCTCCCCAGTAGCTGGGATCACAGGCATGCACCACCACACCCAGCTAATTTTTGTATTTTTAGTAGAGACAGGGTTTCACCATGTTGGCCAGGCTGGTCTCGAACTCCTGACCTCAGGTGATCCACCTGTCTTGGCCTCCCAAAGTGCTTGGGATTACAGGCGTGAGCCACTGCACCTGGCCACCTAGCTAATTTTTGTATTTTTATAGAGATAGGATTTCTCCATGTTGGCCAGACTGACCTCGAACTCCTGACCTCAGGTGATCTGCCTGCCTCGACCTCCCACAGTGCCTGGGATTACAGATGTGAGCCACCATGCCTGGCCTATTAGTAATACTTTTAAATTAAATACTATTTAAATAAAAACATAAAATTATTGTCCAAGGCATGCTGAGTCCTTAAGTCCTGAGAAGAGGCAGAATGATGGAGCATTCAGAGCCAGGAAAGATACATTCCTTTGCCTGCACTTTTTACCCCCTTTCTCACCTATGAAACATCTACCTCCGGTCTGGCTTGGTGGCTTACACCTACAGCCCCAGCACTTTGGGATGCCAAGGCAAGATAATCACTTGAGCTCAGAAGTTTGAGACCAGCCTGGGCAACATAGTGAGACCTTGTCTCTACTAAAAACAAAAAAGTTAGCTGGGCATGGCAGTGTGTGCCTGTGGTCCCAGATACTCAGGAGACTGAGGCCGGAGGATCTCTTGAGCCCAGGAGGTAGGTCAAGGCTGTGGTGAGCTATGATCATGCCACTGCACTTCAGCCTGGGCAACAGAGAGAGACCCTGTCTAAAAAAAAAACAAAAAACAAACAAACAAACAAACAATAAATAAAACATCTACTTTGAAGAAACATGCTTCAAAACCCAGCTCGTGTTTCCTGCTCTGGGCAGCCTTCTCTGAGCTCCAGGATCTGGGCCTCCCTTTATCATGTCTCGAGCTTGCTGAGGATTCACCGTCAGTTCCTCTCCCTCCTGGCCACGAGACTGGGAGCTCCTTGGGGTGAGGGGCCAGTCTGATTCCTCTGTCCCCAATGCCCAGAAGAGACCTCAGCAGACTTGTGGTGACTTAAGGACAGGGGTGTCATGCCTGGAGTTACTAGCAAGATAGAGACATATGGTCGGTTGCCTGACGCCCAGCTCAGTGTTCTACCTGCCGTCTGAGGAAGCCTCTCCGAGCCTCCAGCTGAGTGGTCTATTTTGGGCATGCTCAGTACAGAAGTAATTCTGGGGGGATTCATCTGGGTAAGCTTCTCAGGCTTCTAATCTATCTGGGCTATGGGGGCCAAACTGAAAAGGCCCTTCCAGAAAACCTGCTCTCATCTCCCCATTGTACAGATGAAGACATGGAGACAAGTAGAGGCAGGAACTTGGCCAAAGTCACACGGCCAACTAGTCCTTGTCACCCTTTGGCGTCCCCTGCCCAGGGCCCCAACATCATCCCAGCAGACATCATTTTCATCGTAAAGGAGAAGCTACACCCTCGCTTCCGCAGGGAGAATGACAACCTCTTCTTCGTGAACCCCATCCCTCTGGGCAAGGTGAGTGGGCAAAGCGCTAGAGCAGCGGGGAGGGGATCGGCATGAGCCCCACCTGCCCTGGCCTAGACTTGGCCTCCCCTCCCGCAACCACCTGCCATCAGTCACTAAGCCCTGTGGATTCCACCCTCCAAATCACCATCCACTTGGTCCCCTCTGCTCATCCGCACCGCCTGGATCTGTGCACCAGATCTGCACAGCAGGTCCTCCTCCCCACTTCTCATCTCCTCCAGGCTCTTCTCCTTAGAGATCCTGCCACACACTCATCGGACCCTGCCATACTCCTCACTGTCTAAACATCTTTGTTTAGAGGGCCACTGGAGGCCCTCTGCGATCTGCTCCCTGCTTACCCCTTCCCCTGCACTCCAGCCCCTTCGCCGCATGGCACCCTGCCTGCGTAACGCATTTTCACGCCTCCGTTCTCATTTCTGCTGGGCCCTCTCCTTGGAATGCTGTCTATTCACCTGACCCTATAGGGTCCTCATCAATAGCTACCACCACTGCTACCACTTCCTGCCCTACTCCTGAATGGTTTAGGGGCCTCTCCTTGGCTCCCACAAACACTTTTATTCTATCTCCATCATTACATTTATACAACATCCATCTTACCTGCCAGATCCACCCATCTTTCCTGCCAGGGCAGAAAATGCCTGGGTCATTCACCTATTAGTTCTTGAACAGCCTTGTCTCCCTTGTGCCTAACTCACAGTCTGGCACTGGACAGGTTCCTAAGGTGCCTTTTAAATAGGAGGGCCATGGTGACCCTCCTCAGCCCCACCTTTGGCCCTGACCCTCCCTAGGCTCTCACCTGCTGCACTGTGGAGGTGAAGACTCTAGATGACCGTCTGCTCAACATCCCCATCAATGACATCATCCAGTGAGTCTATCTGCCTTGGGCCCCAGTAGCCAAGAGAAGGGCTAGCCTGGGATTTAGGGGGTATTGTCAGACAGGTCTGCCCAGTAGAGTTGTACAGGCTGCCCCCAGCACAAGGATTCCCTGCTGAGGGGATAGAGAGGACCAAAACCAAACCCACACTCTGGCCACGCTGTGGGCTGCAATCACCTGGCAAAAGGAGCACCTTTTTCTAATCCACACGAAGCTACTGCAGAGGCTAGAGGCCCCCAGTGTTGGGCAACCCCGTGGCCTCCATCCCCCTAAACTTCTCATTAGAGTTCTGAGTTGCATCCCCTAAGTCCTTTTCCAACAAAGGCCCTCTGCCCCTGCAGAGGTTTGCCTGGCAGCCCAGCGCCCCGCCCTCACCTCAGGGTTTGCTCACCCTTACTTCCCGTTTCCCGTATCTTAAACAAAGTTTCTGGAATCCTCCATCAGAGACTCAGTGTAAACAGGTTTTCAGGGAGCAAGCGGTTTGGAATAAGCCAATCTCCTCTCCTTTCCCAACCAGTTCTGGCTAAGAGCCACTCCAGGTGAAGGCTGGAGTGACTGTGCCCTTCCTGGGGTTATGTGACAGGGGTTATGTGACAGGGACTTGCTGAGGTGCTGCTCTGGGATGATGTCTAAGCTCCTTTCTTTCATCCTATTTCAGCCCCAAATACTTCAAGAAGGTGCCAGGTGAGGGGATGCCATTGCCGGAGGACCCCACTAAGAAGGGGGATCTCTTCATCTTCTTCGACATCCAGTTCCCCACCCGCCTCACACCCCAGAAGAAGCAGATGCTGCGCCAGGCATTGCTGACATGACTGCGGTGGGCTGGAGCAGGGGTGAGAGGAGGCTAGCTGGGCCTCACCCCACCCCTACCCGCCACAGCCTCAGGGTGTGCACAGGTGTGCATAGCCTCAGGGAGCCTGCTGCACAGATATGATACCAGAGTGGGATGGTGCAGGGCTTAAACTAACATAATAAAGATCTATTTCCTGTCCTCCAGCTACACCCATGAGAGTGTGTTGGAGAGGAGCTTCATATTAGCCTTTCTTGGGGGGCACAGGGAAGAAAGAGGCCCAAGGAGCTGAGTGCCTGGGTCCCTGTCCTGGCTTTGTGGGAAAGGGCAGGTAAGGGTTCAGATCCTCTGTGCTTCCACTTTGATAGAGTGGGGCAGGGCTGTGTGGCCTCTGAGGGTCTCTAGCTCTGCTCTGGCTTTTCATGACAGAAGAGACAATCTCTGGAGCATGGTATGGTCACGTTAGAGACAGGAAAACTAAAGCACAAAAGAAAACATTTGTTGCAGGTCACTCAGGCCTCAGTGGCAAAGCTGTCATCAGAACCTTGAAGGTGGCAGGGTGCGGTGGCTCACGCCTAGACTTTGGGAGGCCAAGGTGGGCGGATCACTTGAGGTCAGGAGTTCCAGACCAGCATGGCCAACATAGTGAAACCTCATCTCTACTAAATACAAAAATTAGCCAGGTGTGATGGCAGGCACCTGTAATCCCAGCTACTCCAAAGGTTGAGGCAGGAGAATTGCTTGAACCGGGGAGGCCGAGTTGCAGTGAGCTGAGATCGCTCCACTGCACTCCAGCCTGGGCAAAAGTGAAACTCCATCTCAAAAAAACCCAAAAAGGCCGGGTGTGGTGGCTCATGTTTGTAATCCCAGGACTTTGGGAGGCCGAGGCAGGTGGATCACCTGAGGTCAGGAGTTCGAGATTAGCCTGGCAAACATGGTAAAAACCCGTCTCTACTAAAAATACAAAAATTAGCTGGGTGTGGAGGTGAGTGCCTATAATCCCAACTACTCGGGAGGCAGGGGAACCACTTGAATCCAGGAGGTGGAGGTTGCAGTTAGCCAAGATTGTGGCACTGCACTCCAGCCTGGGTGACAGAGCAAGACTCTGTCTCAAACAAAACAAAACAAAACCAGAAACCCCCCAAAACCTTGAAGGTCACTTCCCATAGACTCACCCTGCGTAGAAGAGCAGCATAAAGAACACGTGTGCACTGGAAACAGCTTTGGTTCTACCCCTCTGGCCTCAATCCCCTGGTCTGTGATAGGGTCCTGGGCAGGGTGATCTGGGAAACCCAAGTTCTGATCCCAGCCCTGCCACTTTCTCCTGGAACCAGTTACCACACCTGTCTTGTCAGTAGAGCAGAGCTCATAACCCCCTTCACAGGCACGTTGTGAGGACTGAAATCATTGATGTGAAAGTGCTTGGTGAACTCACTGCTTAGATTCAGGAAGGGGTAACAGTACTGCTGCCCCCAAGGCCTGGAGTTCCAGCATCCACGTCCAACCGGGCCTGCGTAGACCACACTTGCCTCCTCAAAGTCAACAAGTGTGCTACGCTCCCCTTCCATGCCAGCGAGGTTCCCTTCTAGAGTCTGAGCTTGGGTGAGGATAGATCCAGGCTTCGGGGATTAGGTAGCCAATTCCATGGAATGCCTTCAGAGGTGCCAGAAATGGCCCCACGTTCAGATTGCTTGGGACTCCACCATTCAAATCACATCAGCTTAAGGCTTTTTCTTAAATGGGGGTTCAGTAGCACTTTTGTCATTAAAAAAATCACCATGGGCTGGGCGCAGTGGCTCACGCCTGTAATGCCAGCACTTTGGGAGGCCGAGGCGGGTGGATCACAAGGTCAGGGGTTTGAGACCAGCCTGGGCAACATGGTGAAACCTCTTCTCTACTAAAAATACAAAACTTAGCCGGGCATGGTGGCATTCACTTGTAATCCCAGCTACTTGGCAGGCTGAGGCAGGAGAATCACCTGAACCCAGGAGGCAGAGGTTGCAGTGAGCCGAGATCGTGCCACTGCACTCCAGCCTGGCAACAGAGCAAGACTCTGTCTCAAAAAAACAAAAAACAGGCCGGGCGCGGTGGCTCAAGCCTGTAATCCCAGCACTTTGGGAGGCCGAGGCGGGTGGATCACGAGGTCAGGAGATCGAGACCATCCTGGCTAATATGGTGAAACCCCGTCTCTACTAAAAATACAAAAAATTAGCCGGACGTGGTGGCGGGCGCCTGTAGTCCCAGCTACTCGGAGGCTGAGGCGGGAGAATGGCGTAAACCCGGGAGGCGGAGCTTGCAGTGAGCCGAGATCGCGCCACTGCACTCCAGCCTGGGTGACACAGCGAGACTCCGTCTCAAAAAAAAAAACAAAAAAAACAAAAAAAAACAAAAACATTCACCGTAAAGTCAGCTGCCCAAAGACCTTGCGATGAAGACTCCAGGACCAAGGCTCCAGGAAGCATTTCAGCACAGTAGTTAAAAGCACGTGGGCTTTGGATTCAGATACACCTGTTCTGGATCCCAGGTGTGTTACTAGCCAGCTGTGTGCCTTTGGGCAAGTCACTTCATCTCTCTTAAAGCTTGTAGCCCCTACCTTGCAGGCCTTTCATGGAAACCAGATGGTGAGGCATGAAATACTCAGGGGCAGGACTCAGGTGGAGTGGGGTGGTGAGAGCTGCCCTGTTCTGAGAGCAAGCCCTGAATTGAGAGGGGCTGTGAAAGTAGAGCCAGGGCTGTGAAATTATTGAACTCTAGGTCCCCTGTAGGGCAGCAGGAAAGCCTACTCCTTATCATGAGGCTCTGAAGGAAGCCTGGGTCTCAGGCCTGAAAGTCCCTTAGGAGATTCCTATTACCTCAGTGATCTTCGGCGCTACCTTGAATTAGGCAAAGCACGGCTTATCATATGCCCACTTAATAGGCATTAAAGGGTTGGGGACCAAAGAGAATTGATCTACCTCTGATCAGAATGAATGAGACCCACTGGTATGTTTTCCAGTGGTTCCTACCACTGTTCCCAGCTCATTGTCCCAAGGCCACACCCAGAACCACAATGAAGGTGGGTAGCCTCATGTCTATTAAGGCTGCTGAATGAACCAGCTGACTTGGTCATGCCCACCTGGCCTGTTTAGCTTTGACACACACCTACTAAACTGCCTCTCCTTCCTCTCGTCCAGAGCAGAGCTAACAGCCTGCCTCAAAGGATTAGTGTGAGAAGGTACATAAAGCACTGGCCAGGTCCTCCGTACATGCCACCCCCTGCAGCCTGCCTGGGCTGCCTGTCAACTCTTAACCTGGTCTGCCGCCTTATGGCACTCAACCCTGTCCCTCCCGAGGACTATGGGGCCTCAGATCAATTTGTCAAAAACTAAGAAGGAAGCTGAAGAATCCTGGACCCTCGTTCCTTCTCCAAGAACCAGTCTAACGCCCTGGCCCTCAACCCAAGCACTGAAGGGTCTAGCCTCCAGCTCTGACCACTGGGCTAATGAGGGGAAGGAGCAGTGGCGTCAGCTGCTTGAGGCTGAGGGAAGAGGGAGGGTGGTTGTGTTCTCAGGGCCTGGCTCCACAGCTGCCAAACAAGCTTCCCCAAGGACCCCAGCATTGGTCTTGGGGAGTCCAGAAGGGGAAGGAGGACTGGGTCCCGGTCCCAGTTCAGTAGCGGACTTTCTGGGTGTTCTTGCCTGCATCGCCTGTGTCAGGCCTCAGCTTCTTCAGACACCTACGAACTGGGTCTGAGTGACATATTACTAAGGGCCCAGCTCTACAGAAGATGCCTCGGGATTCTGGGACCTCACAGTCTCCACTCCTTGAAATTGTAGTAGCCCTGCCCACCTGCCTCTGAGGGCAGGTGATAAGAACAGGGACAGAGAAGCGGAGACCCCTGTGTAGCCAAAGCCCTGGTTTCCTATGGACTCCTTGGATCCCTAGCTGGGGCGGGGGCAGGTGGAGAGGGGCTGTGGTGAGACTCCAAATGGAAAGTATCCTGGCCAGGTGCGGTGGCTCACGCCTGTAATCCCAGCACTTTGGGAGGCTGAGGTAGGTGGATTGCTTGAGATCAGGAGTTCGAGACCAGCCTGGCCAACATGGCAAAACCCCGTCTCTACTAAAAACACAAAAATTGGCCGGGCACGGTGGCTCAAGCCTGTAATCCCAGCACTTTGGGAGGCCGAGATGGGCGGATCATGAGGTCAGGAGATTGAGACCATCTTGGCTAACACGGTGAAACCCCGTCTCTACTAAGAAATACAAAAAATAGCCGGGCGAGGTGGCAGCGCCTGTAGTCCCAGCTACTTGGGAGGCTGAGGCCGGAGAATGGCGTGAACCCGGGAGGCGGAGCTTGCAGTGAGCTGAGATCCGGCCACTGCACTCCAGCCTGGGCTACAGAGCGAGACTCCGTCTCAAAAAAAAAAAAAAAAAAAAAAAAAAAAAAAAAAAAAACACACAAAAATTAGCCAAGTGTGATAGTGTATGCCTGTAATCCCAGCTACTTGGGAGGCTGAGGCAGGAGAATTGCCTGAACCTGGGAGAGGTTGCAGTGAGCCGAGATTGCACTACTGCACTCCAGCCTGGGTGGCAGCAAGTGAGACTCTGTCTCAAAACAACAAAAAACACAAATGGAAAGTATCCTCAGGCAGAAACCGGATATTTACCCTGCAGCCTCCACCCACCCTCTGTGGAGTCAGGGCCTGCTCCACCCAGTTCAGTAACACTTCCTCTGTGGGTATGGTTGTGGAGGGTGGAAGGAGGCTGACTTGTTCTCACAAGGTCTGGGACTTTGGGAGAGGTGGGTCTTCCTTCCGTTTGTAAAATGGAATAAAATAAAGTTGACAGCATCGAAGAGTCTCATGTTCCTCCGGAACTGCAGGAGATGCAGGGCAGAGAGGAGCACTCTTGTTGTGCAGATAAACAGGCCTGTGGCTGGGGTGGGGGGTTGGGATGGCAGGCACTAGGGTACCAGATTCTGAGTAAGAGCTCAAGTGGCCTGGCAAAAGAAGGGGAGGCGAGAGCAAGGCCACTGCTGTCTCTCAGGTGGCTCCTGCTCTCCCCATGTTAGTGCAGGGCCTAGGTCTGAAAAGAAATGGACTGGATGACCTCCACGGGCTGCAGGTTGGATGCTGGAGGTAGAAGGTGGATCACACCCATTTTCAAAGTCAGGTGGTTCCTCCCCTGCCCACCAGGTACCAAAAAGGCCATCGGACCAAGACCTCTGGTAACAGCTACAAGAGAAGGAGGAGACACCAAGGTTGAGCTTGCTTTATGGGTGACAAGTGGGCTAGGGTGGGCTGCGGGGGGCAGGACGAAGATTCTGGCTGAATGTTCCAAGGGATGGGAGGCTTGGGATCCTGGCTGGTACCAGGCCTCCCACACTGTCAAATGTCAGCTCCACCAGCACTGAGAGACAATGAGGAGATGACAATGTGGAGAGAGGGAAGGTGGTGGGTAAAGGCACGGAAGAGAGAGGCGGGGAAAGAGGGAAGGAGGGAAGGGAAAGAAGGAAGAAAAGGAAAGCATGGCCCGGCTAGAGCCAAAGCCAGAGGTGATCAGGTCAGCAGCAGGAGAGGCTCAGAAGGGAGCCTCTCGGGAAGTGCAGGCGGCCATGAGGGCCCGTTTCAGCTGCTCATAGGTGACGAACATCACCACGTTCCAGGAACCCAAGCGGAGAAAGGAGGGCATGAACCTAGGGGAGAAAAAACACAGGTCATGGGGGTACCTCCACCTCCCACTTTCCTCACTGGGCCTGGTATTCAATCCAACCCAGTGGCTCTGTCCCAGAGGAGACTGGGAGGACTCAGTGAACTGAGCTCACAGCTGCCTGGTATGAATTCCCTTTGAGTCTCCGTTTAACAAATACAAAATTGTGATGGTAGCAATTCTGGGAGGAAGGAATTAAAGGGATAAGTGAAAGCTGGCGAAATGCCAGGAGTGGGATCAGAAATAGCCTGGGCTATCAACCCACTGGGCTGATACTCACTTCCGGGTGCTCCTCTCCCACCCATGATAGACATGCATAGCCAAGAGGCCTGAACTGGGTGGGGAGGATCAGAGGCTCACCCTTTGTAGAAGGCTCGGGGTCCCTCCTTCTGGAGCATGGTGAGGGCACAGTGGCCAGCGCTGCTGTACTGGCCCAGGGCAGAGTTCATGTATCTCGTCTTGACCACGTCTACAGGGGAGGCGATGACAGTGGTGCAGAAGCCTGCCCCAAAGGCGGAAGTGAAGTGGCAAGGGAGGTCATCTGCCAAGGAGGAGCAGGCAAGACAGTCAAGATTCTTCACTCATCATTCCAGAAGGAAGGAGAATACTTAAGTAGCTAAGAGTTTTCACGATTTTAAAGAGAGAGGGTGGGCACAATGGCTCATGCCTGTAATCCAGGACTTTTGGAGGCTGAGGTGGGTGGATCACTTGAGCCCAGCAGTTCAAGACCAGACTGGGCAACATGGCAAATCCCTGTCTCTACAAAATACAAAAATTAGCCAGACATAGTGGTGCGTGCCTATAGTCCCAGCTACTCAGGAGGCTGAGGTGGGAGGATTGCTTGAGTCAGGGAGATCGAGGCTGCAAGGAGCCATTAATCACCCCACTGCACTCCAGCCTGGGCAACACAGCAAGACCCTGTCTCAAAAAACAAATAAGAGGGTGGGGCGCGGTGGCTCACACCTGTAATCCCAGCACTTTGGGAGGCCAAGGCGGGTGGATCACTTGAGGCCAGGAGTTTGAGACCAGCCTGGCTAACATGGTGAAACTCTGTCTCTACTAAAAATACAAAAATTAGCCAGTGTGCTGGCGCACATCTGTAATCCCAGCTACTCAGGAGGCTGAGGCATAAGAATTGCTTGAACCCGGGAGAAGGTTGCAATGAGCCGAGATTACATGGTGAGACTCTGTCTCAACAAAACAAAAAACAAAACAAAAAACAAAAACAAGAGACAGGGACTCCAGCTGAGACCTCTTCTGAGGACCGGAAAGAGTCGTTGTGCCAATCTAGCCTCAGTTCCTCAATATGCAAAGTGAGAGCTTCATCCTAGTTGGCTTCAATATGGCGAGTAAGAGATATATCTTACTCTCCCTGCAAAGGGCAAATAGGATGAAAAGATGTAGGCTTCTGGTGTCAACTAGACCCCTGTACCTGCTCCCGGCACGGGGGAAGGGTGAGACCCAGCACCATCAACCTTGTGACTCACCTGTCATGAGGTTGGCTTTCAGAAGGGCATCCTTGATGAGGTCATAGGTCACCAGCTCAGCACAGTTGACAATGGCATTACGAGCAACATTGGGAGAGGTCCCTGTAGGAAGAGGGAGATCCTGGGTGAGACCAGAGAATCAGGGAGGAGGAAAAGGGGAAAAGAAAACAACTGTACACACCTTTCCAGAGGCCCCCAAACCCTTCCTCTTGGGCAATGGTCTTGTAGGCATCGACGGTGCTTTGGTATCTCCGACCACCTCCAGCCCGGGCCTGAGCTTGGAACCGGACCTTTACCACATCCGTGGGCTGGGCCACAGCCACAGCCAGGGCACCTGTGGTGCTGCCTGCTAGGAGGCGGCTCCCAATGCTGGCATCTGTGGGCGAGTCAGGGGGTCAGTGGCCAGCGGGCTTGCACTGGTTTTTTACCTCATCTCTCCTCACCAAAACCACCCTGTCACTGTCATCTCCTGCTTTGGGGAATAGAATCCAGAAGCTTTTGGCCTTCTACAAGCTCTTGCTCTAAGAACTCCTCACATCAAACAAAATATCCCTATGAATGTCTACTCCTTGATAGGGACACAGCAAGGGGTAAGACCAAAATGAAACCTGGTGCTTTCTTTCATAAAACATTTTCATTTACCTGCTCAACAGCCCTGAGAAATCACAATCATTTCCATCTGACAAATGTAAAACCAAGGCTCAGAGAGAAGTGGCTTTCTGAGGACCGGGACTCCTAAGACTTGGGATCTCAGGTCAGCTTTACTTCTTCCTGCCATGTGATCTTGGGAAAGAAAACTTTTGTTTGGGGCTCTGTTTCTTCATATGTAAAATGGAGGGTTGGCAGAGCATAGTAAGGAGGTGAAAGGGAAGAACGCTGGCCTTGAAGGCGAGTGTCCTGGCTCTCTACTGTGTGCCCTTGGCCAAAGTCCCCCTCTACCCACTGCCTTCCCACCTCAGTCTCTTCTTCTATAACACTGGGATGATACTGCCTACTCCCAAGGTGGTGGTGAGGACTGTCATGGGATGATGCCCTGCTCAGAGCCTGGTGTAGCCCAGGTGCTCGGGAACTATGCGGAGGACCAGGCCCTTCCAGTTCTCTGTTCCTCTGATCTTCCTAGGGATCATGGGGCCTAAAAACACCTATATGGCTTAATGAACTAAGATCTATCATCACTGAGAAAAAAGGGCCAAGGGGCCTCCAGCCTAGCTCCATACTCACGCTCAGAGCCCTTGGTGTAGAACTGTTTGACAGAGTCATACAGGCCAATGCGGACAGAGGCAAAGCTCATTTGACGCTGCAGGCCGGCAACCAGTCCATTGTAGAGGCTTCGGGGGCCCTCGGTACGCACCATGGTCAGAATGGTGCCCAGCACACCGCGGTACTGGGCGCCGGCTGTAGCGTGCACTGGCCCCTGACTTTCTCCTTGGATCTGCAAGGCCAAAACGGGGTAGCTACAGGGATAGGCATGTTGCCCTTCCCACCTCCAGTCATCTTGATGCTCCAAATACCCACTGGCCCTTGAGGGGTCTGTGTCCTTGGGGAGGGAACAGAGTAGACACCATCAAGATCCCCAGGCTTCATCCCCTCACCTGTAACCGGACTTTAGCAGTATCCAGAGGAAAGGTGATGAGATCTGCGATGCAGGCAGCTGTGCCAGCCCCAAGAAACTTCACAGTGGCAGTAGGGGGGATATCTGTGGCCTTGAACCCAACCATGATGCTGATTTCCTGCTACCTCCCAGGAGATGGAGAAAAACCGGAGATGGGGCACCTTTAATCAGTAACAAGACGAGATAGAGGAACTCTGCCGGAATCTAAGCCAAGAGGAGAGAAGCCCCATTAGCCACGATGTCCCCAGGCCCTCCCTGCTCACCATCCCCAACCCCAGCTTCCCTAATAGCACCAAGCCCCTCAGCAAGACTCCAAGTGGCCTCATGAGGGAAAATAGATGTGAACTCGAGAGGCACTCAATTAGGCACTGGTGAAGCAATTCCTGCTCAAGCAGTCAATACTTCATGAAGGGCTCCCTCCCTTTCAATACAGGGAGAGTCTGGATCAGAGCTCTCCTAGCGCTGCCTCATAAACAGCCACTGGACCAGCCCTCTGTCTGCTGGATGCAGAGGTTTCACTGATGATGCCCATGTTCCTGCTTCTGTGATTCATCTGGAGAGCTGACAGAAGCGGAGGAAGTTTCACCCAGACTAAGACCCGACAGGCACAGACCCACACGCTTATCTTCTGGATGTCTAGGCAGGAATGGTTTCCACGGGTCTGGAACTTAAGAAGAAAAGGAAGGTACAAGATGATGAATTCAGTCCCTTCCCAGACCGTCAGTCTAATTCTCTCCTCCAGCTCCCACATAGCTTAGGATCTCCAGAGTCACTGTTTTGTGACTTTGCTGGGCAGTAGTTCACTGAGATGCAGGAGATAATATCTACCCTAGAGGAGGCTTACTGTTGGGCACAGCGGGTGGGTGGGCAGATGATTCAAGCTGCGTTTGAGGCTTACAGGACATACTCTCAAAATGCAAAGGAGGGAACAACCAATGCCATCGGGAGAGAAGGAAGAGTGAGTGATCAGAAAAGACTTCCTGGGCCGGGTGCAGTGGCTCATGCCTGTAATTCCAACACTTTGGGAGGCCGAGGCAGGCAGATCACCTGAGGTCAGGAGTTTGAGACCAGCTTGGCCAACATGGCAAAACCCCATCTACACTAAAAATACAAAAATTAGCTGGGTGTGGTGGCACGCACCTGTATTCCCAGCTACTTAGGAGGCTGAGGCAGGAGAATCGCTTGAACCCAGGAGGTGGAGGCTGCAGTGAGCTGAGATTGTGCCACTGCACTCCAGCCTAGGCGACAGAGCAAGACTGTTTCAAAAAAAACCAAAAACCAAAAACAAACTAGCACTTTGGGAGGCCGAAGTGGGAGGGCTGCTTGAACCCAGGAGTTCAAGACCAGCCAGGGCAACATAGTGAGACCCTGTCTAAAAAATATAAATAAAAATAAATTAGCTGGACATGATGGTGCATGCTTATAGTCCCAGCTACTTGGGAGGATTACTTGAGCCCAGGAGGCTAAGGCTGCAGTGAGCTGTGATTGTGCCACTGTGTTCCAGTCTGGGTGAGAGAGTGAGACCTTGTCTCAAACAACAACAACAACAACAAAACTAAAGACTTCTTAGATAAGGTAACATTCAACTAGGTGATTTTGGGGGCTGAGAGTAAACTCTGGGGCATTAGACTCCTCCTGGCCTACCATGTGATGCAAAGAAAATTGCTCTCCTTTTTGTCTGGGCCAGTTTCCTTTCCTCCAACTTAGGGGGATCCACACTTACACAAGACAGGCAAGGATGGGGGTACAGGTCAGAGCTGTGAAGAGTGATAAGGAAACCAAAAGCCCCATTTTGTTCTGAATTGGAACCACGCCCTCCTCCACTGCCCCAGGAGGAAGTGAGCCCAGCACCCTAGTTGGGGAGGGTGACCTGCTTCTTCCCCTGAGCTTATTTCTTTGACTTCATTGGAGCAGCTGCTTTGAGCCCCGCCTGACTGACTGCCTTTGTTGCTGGGGCTCAGATGAGAGCTGGCTGGTGAAGGGAGTCAGCTGTGAATACAGAGACCCATGGAAACAAAGAGCTCACCCAGCTTCCTCTTGGGCTTCTCACTCCAGGTGGCTGGGGCAACCAGGGAAATGAAGATACAATAGCAACTACACTGGGACCTACAGAACAAGGCCTGACCTTTTTCCTGTTTCCCTCCACCTTGCCCACGAGGCTCAGTGAAGACTGCTGCTCAAATGACAGAGTGGGTTGATGAAGGTGCCCCTGGACTCCCCAGGTTCCCTGCTCTGACACCCCCTTCCCCCAAGAGGTGCTCCACAACTTTCCCCACCCCAATGCCCAGGGCACTGTATTAGCTCAATCCTCAGAGCAGCCCTGCAAGGTGGCTGCCCTTACTTCCATGTGAGATGAGTAAGAGCCACACCTACAGGCACCAAAGCTGGTAGTATTTGCTTTGCACTGCTGCCCAGCTCCTCAGTTCCTTCCTGCTGTTTTCTCAGCCCCAGGCACAGGCAGGGCCTTTCACAAGGAAAGTTCTCGCAGGCTGATTAAATAGTCCTGAGAAGGCTCAGGCAAATGGTATCCCTTCTCTGGGCATCAGAGACATCATGACATGAGTCTATCACATTCCTGACCTTGAGCTGGGTTGCAGGATGTTGTGAAGGCCAGAGAGTAAGACCCAGCTGCTGCCTAAAGACAAGTGCACAGAGGTTCAGCTGCCATTCTGAACGTTGCCTTGGGTTTGCCAAACCAGGTCCTTCAGAGGGTGGGTAAGGGGGCCCTACTGACAGCAATTAAAATGCAGGCCTAGAAATAGTTAATCCTGGCCGGGCGCGGTGGCTCAAGCCTGTAATCCCAGCACTTTGGGAGGCCGAGATGGGCGGATCACGAGGTCAGGAGATCGAGACCATCCTGGCTAACACGGTGAAACCCCGTCTCTACTAAGAAATACAAAAAAATAGCCGGGCGAGGTGGCGGGCACCTGTAGTCCCAGCTACTCGGGAGGCTGAGGCCGGAGAATGGCGTGAACCCGGGAGGCGGAGCTTGCAGTGAGCTGAGATACGGCCACTGCACTCCAGCCTGGGCTACAGAGCGAGACTCCGTCTCAAAAAAAAAAAAAAAAAAAAAGAAATAGTTAATCCTATTTTACAGTGCCCAGCAAATAACCAGTTTCAGAGCTGCGCAAGGCTGATTACCAATCTCGGTTTCAGGGATAGTCAAAAGCTAGCATCAAAAATATGAAGTTAGAACAATAGGTTCCTGTCCTAGCTCTTCTACTGGCTCCCAGGATGACCTGGGGCCAGTCACTGTTCCATGTGGGCCTGTTCTCTCCTTTATAAAATGGGGACCAAGAACCTCGGCTTGATTTGGCTGAAGGGCCAGAATGAGAGCAGGGAGGTGTGAGAGTGCTCTGTGAACTGGAAAGAGCCACTTCACTGTCATGGGGTGGGGATGGTAGTTATTTTTGTTAATGCCCCGCTGACTCCTGTCCCTAGACCACAGGGTTAGGAGACAGCAAGAGATCTCTTCCTTGGACTGGACTCTTACCTGGCTTTGTAAGGTCTCACGGTGAGGCCTCCAAGATCAAGCTTCTCTAAAGGTGTCCCGTTCTTCAAAGCTGCCAGTGGCTGTCATGGCCTGATCCCCTTGGTTTTCCATAGAAAATGGGTGGGAGACGAAACACCTAATGGTCATACTATGTGTCCTGTGGGTGAGCAAAGGCGGAGAGTTTAGAAAGGGCCACCTGCCCCAAGACACACAAGCCCACCCAGTCCATGCCTTGGAGGGGGATGGAGAACAGGGCCCATCTCACCCAGGGACTGATTAAGTGCACACACTGGAAAGGGGAAAAGCAGGGTAGAAAATGAACCTAGGTACGCTCCCCACCCCCACCCCACCTGCTTAATATCACAAATTGGCTCTTGTCCAGGCTTCTGCTTTTGTAACACCCAGTACTCTAGATAAGCACCCCCTAGCACAGTCATCAGACTTTGGTGAGTGAGAGAGTTATGAGGGGGTCACGATGGGACAGAGAATCTCCGGGAATTGGCTAGGGCCCAGGCCGGGCTGTGAGGAGGTTGGATGGGCTGGGAGCCTGCCCTGCAGGGGCCAGACTGAGCAGCTCAAAGCCCACTAGAAAAAGCCCCTAAGCCCTGGGAAAGGCAGTGCAGGAACACTGCCTGGAGCCGCCTGGTGAGAGAGAGGTCATCGTGGTCATCGCTGACGGTCCCCATCCAAGGCAGGGCTGGGCGTCGTGGTGGAAAGGAGGGATTGAAAAGGTGGAGGATCAAACCACAGCCAACCGAACGGAAGAGGGAAAGAACAAAAAGGAGTAAGAAAAAGAGTAAGAGAAGAGAAATAAAGAACCAAGGACAGAAAGGATTTGTACAGGCCGAGCGCGGTGGCTCACGCCTAAAATTCTAAGACTTTGTGAGGCCGAGGGGGGGCGGATCGCTTGAACTCAGGAGTTCGAGACCAGCCTGGGCAACAAAGCGAAACCCCGTCTCTACAAAACACAAAAATTAGCCAGGCGGGCGCCTGTAATCCCAGCTACTCGGTAGGCGGATCGCTTGAACCTGGGAGGTGGAGGCTGCAGTGAGCCGAGATCGCGCCACTGCACTCCAGCCTGGGAGACAGAGCGACAGCCTGTCTCAAACAAACAAACAAACAAACAAACAAAAACAAAAAATAAAACCGAAAGAAAGAAAAGAGTACAAACTTGGGTGGGAGAGAAGGGAAATGGAAGAGCGGGCAGCGCACGCAGAACAGGTGTAGGGGGCGCAGAGGGTGCAGGGCTGGGGCCAGGCTCACCAAGCCTCAGGGAGAACACGAGAGTGCGTGCGGCTGTGTGTATCTGCTGGAGGAGGGAGCGTCGGGCGAGCAGGACCAACGCGGACGGTCGATCTCAAGGCTTGAACAGCAGGGCTTTGCAGTGTGGCTCCGCGCGGGCGGCGGCGCGGCACAAGTTTCGGGGGCGGGGCCCGGGGCGGGGCCTGCGGGGCGGGGCGTGCCAGCTTTTACTTGGGTGAGGAGATTCTGGAGCCGCCGCCTTTCCGCGGGGACCGTCCCGCCTAAGGTTCTCTCCGTGACTTTCTCCACTCCCAATTCTGTGCGTCCCATCACCGCGTTTACTCTTTCGTTCCCCTAGATGGTCACTCCCTTGCCACTCCCCGCCTCTGCTTCACACTCTCTCGGGCCGCCAACCTCTTTGTGAGGATGGCAAGACTGACGGCCAGAAAGGAGTCTTGTCCAGTCACACACCTCTTGCCTCCCAGCCAGGACGGTTTCTAACAGCGTTCAGCGGGGTCGGGTCTAAGTGTACTTTCTTTTTTATGGGCCCAGCCCCCAACGCTGGGCAAACTACCCACCCTCCTGCCAGCGAGAGCGCGGCTGGCTACTGCAGGGCGGGGCGGGGTCTCGCGACTGGCCTCGCTGTCGATTGGTTACAGCCGCCGCGTTGTCGAGGGAAGGAACCAATCAGAGCTGCAGCAACAGGTGGTCCGGCAACCGGCAACTGCGGTTGGGCTCGGCTGGGGTTCGCGCCTTCTCCGGCGGTGGAGCGGCCTGGCCTTTAGGGACCAGGGACACTAAAGGCCCCGGCGGGGCGGGAGCACCCAGCGTGACCTCACGCTCCTATACACACGCGAGCAAATGGGCTGGCCCCCCGCATGTGACAAGGCAGAGCCGGGCCCAGGCCCGCTGCTTGTCCAGCCCTGGGATGAGAAAAGGAGTCTCATCCCAGGACCGGGCCTGGTTCACCTTTAATTGGCTGACTCGTCCTGTGGGGGTAACCGGCGCGTGAACAGCCAACAATTGGGCCCGGTGGCCAGGACAAACACGTGCATTTAGGGAGTAGAAGAAGGCCGGTATTAACCTCCATTTTACGGTGAGGGAACGGAGTCCCAAAGACGTTCAGTCATCTGCCTGATAGTCACCACACAGTGGCGAGCCCTGACTTACACCCTGGTCAGGTCGGCGCCATATGTGTTTTCACCAGCAGAAGGGACTGCCAGGGAACAGCTGAGGGGACCAGAGCTGGGAAGGGCCTGCATTATTACAGCGGAAAGAAAAACACGCCGAGCGCATGGTCCTGGCAGAAGCAGCGTGGAAACAGAAGTCAAGGCAGATTATTTCTGTCATGAGGAGATCTTGCCATGTAGGAAAAAAGAAAGAAAGAGAGAGAGAGAAAGGAAAGAGAGAGAGAGGAAAGAAAGAGAGACAAGAAAGAAATAAAACAAAGAGATCGAAAAAGAAAGAAAAGAAAAGAAAGATTATTTGTGGCACTGTGGGTCTCCCTCTGCCAGGTTCTCTAGCTTTTGCGCTGAGCCCTGTCTGGCTGTGCATTCCGGAGAGGCTCGGCAAATTTGCCGTGAGATTGCTGACCGACAGCAGAACAGATGCAAAGGCCTGCAGACCAAAAATTGTCCCTTTAGCTGTCCTAACAGGGAAGGATCTGGATTCCAGAAACTATATACTTATTATCCTTGGCAAAAGAGACTGTTAAAAGCGTGGACTCTGAAAAAGGGAAGAGGAGATCAACAAGATGCAGCATGAAGTCTTTAAGAAATCCTCTTTGGAAAAAAAGATGTGTTTAGGGTTTAAACTACTTTTATTATTTATTTATTTAACTTATTTTTTGAGACAGGGTCTCTTTTTGTTGCCCAGGCTGGAATGCAGGTGACTGGGTCTCTACTCACTGCAGTCTTGACCTCCTGGGACTAAGCAGTCCTACTTCTGCCTCCCTAGCTGGGACCACAGGGATGAGCCACTAAGCCTGGCTAATTTATTTATTCGTTGTAGTGACAGGTCTCCCTATGTTGTCCAGGCTACTCTTGAACTCCTGGTCTCAAGCAGTCCTCTGAACTCGGACTCTCACAGTACTGGAATTACAGGTGTGAGCCACTGTGCCTGGCCTCAAGAAATTCTCTTAAAATTCTTTTTGGGTGGGGGCAGATCTGAGCAATCCTATAGACATACAAATGCTGCACCCATGGATTTTCAGCATCTTGCCCAAGTCATAAGATGTCCTGTGGACAAACCAGAGAATGTATGGGTACAGATAACTATATTTTGAAAACTTGTAGCCGGGTGAGGTGGCTCACGCCTGCAATCCCAGCACTTTGGGAGACTGAGGCGGGCAGATCACCTGAGGTCAGGAGTCGGAGACCAGCATGGCAAAGATGGTGAAACCCTGTCTCTACTAAAAATACAAAACTTAGCTGGGAGTGGTGGCGTGCGCCTGTAGTCCCAGCTACTTGGGAGGCTGGGGCAGGAGAATCACTTGAACCCAGGTGGCAGAGGTTGCAGTGAGCTGAGATTGCGACATTGCACTCAAGCCTGGGCGACAGAGCAAAACTCTGTCTCAAAAAACAAAAAAATAAAAAGAAAAGAAAACTTGTTTCACATCTATTTCATTGAATTGTGTGTACACGCACACACACACGTTTATTTGTAAATGTTTTGTATGTGCCAATAACCAAATTGACAAGTTTCATATATTTTGTTGTATAATTTTAACATCATCCCAGGAAACAATTCACTGTGCTTACAGTTTTGGAACTTTTAAATCTTTAAATACAAACTGTATTTGAAACATTGAAAATGAAAAAAAGACACAAGAATGAAAGAGAAAACTGAAAACATCAGGTAATTAAAACCAACATGAGAAAAACTTAAACATTTCCTTAGTCTCTGATAATTTCTGCTAAGAATATTGAGTAGATTGGCTATATTAACTTTCCTCCCCTCATCAAACAAGCATACAATTATCTGATTGCATTTTTAAAAGGAAGTCAAATTTGATGACCATGCATTTCTAAAATTGACATGAAACTGAATTTTTTTGTTTGTTTGTTTGTTTTTTGTTTTTTTTTTTTGAGACAGAGTCTCGCTCTGTCGCCCAGGCTGGAGTGCAGTGGCCTGATCTCAGCTCACTGCAAGCTCCGCCTCCCGGGTTTACGCCATTCTCCTGCCTCAGCCTCCCGAGTAGCTGGGACTACAGGCGCCCGCCACCTCACCCGGCTAATTTTTTGTATTTTTCAGTAGAGATGGGGTTTCACCATGTTAGCCAGCATGGTCTCGATCTCCTGACCTCGTGATCCGCCCATCTCGGCCTCCCAAAGTTCTGGGATTACAGGCTTGAGCCACCGCGCCCGGCTGAAACTGAATTTCTTTAAACCCACTTAGCAGATGAGATGGGGGATGGTGGCTCATACCTGTAATCCCAGCAGTTTGGGAGGTTGAGACAGGTGGATCACTTGAGGCCAGGAGTTGAAGACCAGCCTGCCAACATGGCAAAACCCTGTCTATACAAAAAATACAAAAATTAGCTGGGCATGGTGGTGCATGCCTGTAGTCTCAGCTACTTGGGGGACTGACATGGAGGATCACCTGAGCCTGGGAGGTTGAGGCTTCAGTGAGCCATGATTGTGCCACTATACTCCAGCCTGAGTGACAGGGTGACCCTGTCTCAAAATAAATAAATAAATAAAAAATACCTGTAATCCCAGCACTTTGAGAGACTGAAGCAGGTGGATCACAAGGTCAAGAGATAGAGACCATCCTGGCCAACATGTTGAAACCCCATCTCTACCAAAAATACAAAAATTAGCTGGGTGTGGTGGCACTTGCCTGTAGTCCCAGCTACTTGGGAGGTTGAAGCAGGAGAATCACTGGAATATGGGACATGGAGGTTGCAGTGAGCTGAGATTGTGCCGCTGCACTCCAGCCTGGCGACAGAGCGAGACTCCATCTCAAAATAATTTTTAAAAACCTCTTAGAAGATTAAATTGAATCATGTATTTGTTAATTTCCATGTCCATTTTGATGTTTCTTCTTCTTCTTGGTTTTGGTTTCTAAAAAAAGGGGGGTGGGGAAATGGCGACACAAAGCCAGATGGAATTACTTGACATGTTTGTCACGTAATTAACCATTGTACATGAATTTTCCTTGGTAAGTAACACACCCTGGTTTTTTGTTTGTTTGTTTGTTTCTTTTTGAGACGAAGTCCTGCTCTGTTGCCAGGCTGGAGTGCAGTGGCGCGATCTTGGCTTACTGCAACCTCCACCTCCTTCAAGGAATTCTCCTGCCTCAGTCTCCCGAGTAGCTGGGACTACAGGTGTGCACCAACATGCCCAGCTAATTTTTGTATTTTTAGTGCAGATGGGGTTTCACCATGTTGGCCAGGATGGTCTCTATCTCTTGACCTTGTGATCCACCTGCCTCGGCCTCCCAAAGTGATGAGATTACAGGTGTGAGCCACTGGGCCCAGCCCACATCCTGTATTTTAAAAGTTGAATTGAAAAACACTGAGTTAAAAGATGCATGTTTTTCCATGAATTGTGTGAATGAAATAAAGCTAAATTCATAAAGCATGAACATAGCAGCAGTTCTCATTTGGCTCACAGTCCTAAAAATGCAAATTCTCCTCAACTTCTTAGAGCATGACAAGTCTTCAGCTGGCAATTTTTCCATGTTTATATAAGAAGCTAGAATTGATCATATGGTTTTACAGTGCTTTCTCTAAAATCCGTTTGTTATTAGATTCTGTTTTTCTTATTATTTCTCACAGGAAATCAAGCAGCAAATTACTCCCATATTTTAAGCTCTAAATTCAAGAACAACTAAATTCACTGCCAGCCATTACAAATATTCAGTTCTTTATTAAGGTATACACCATTACAGTAGGCTCAGAGTGCTAATACATGAATAATAACTATAGTTAGTAAAACAATGCAAATGAAGATGAGTTTAAAGAGCCCTGATCAATGAAGTACTTTTCAGTTGAAAAATTATAGAAGGACTGGGTGCAGTGGCTCACGCCTCTAATCCCAGCACTTTGGGAGGCCGAGAGGGGCAGATCACCTGAGGTCAGGAGTTCCAGATCAGCCTGGGCAACATGGTGAAACCCCGTCTCTATTAAAAATACAAAATTAGCCAGGTGTGGTGGCACATGCCTGTAATCCCAGCTGCCCGGGAGGCTGAGGCAGGAGAATTGCTTGAACCTGGGATGCAGAGGATGCGGTGAGCCGAGATCGTGCCATTGCACTCCAGCAACAAGAGTAAATCTCCATCTCACAAAAAAAAAAAAAAAAAAAAAAATTGTAGAAGGTTCCGGGCGCGGTAGCTTATGCCTGTAATCCCAGCACTTTGGGAGGCCGAGGCTGGCAGATCACGAGGTCAGCAGATCAAGACCATCCTGGCTAACACGGTGAAACCCCGTCTCTACTAAAAATACAAAAGAATTAGCCGGCCCTGGTGGCGGGCACCTGTAGTCCCACCTACTCGGGAGGCTGAGGCAGGAGAATGGCGTGAACCTGGGAGGTGGAGCTTGCAGTGAGCGG